CAGGTCAGAGGGCAACGGGGGGCGGGGGATGGGGTGCGGGAGCGGCCCTGCCCACCAGGGACCAGGGGTCACCGAGCCAAAGGTTGAGCCGCGTGATAGCCCCCCCCCCCCCGCCGCTGCCCGGCACACAATAGGCGGGCCGGAGCGAGGGCAGGGGCGGCGTCTGCCCCCGGGGGGGCGATGGTCAGCTGTTGCCCGGAGTCAGGCAGCCAGGGGGCATCTGCAGATGATCCCAGCGCTGGGCCCAGGGCTGGCCCGCCTTTGTGGGGCAGACAAAGAGGTGTTCCAGGAAAGTGGCACGGCCTGATTTATGGGGATGGCCTTCTGTTTCTCGTCCCCTCCTCTCCAAGCAAATGGCTAAAATATTTTACATTTAACTTTTTTCCTAACCCCCCCCCCCCCACGAAGCAAAAAAATCTCGGCTCCCCACGGAGAGCGTGAAATTGTCAAAGCCATTTAGTGAAGCGGCGTTTTCTGACAGCTGCTTGTGTTAAGTATTTTAATGTTACCGCACTTGTAAACGTTGTGGGTTAAACACTCCAAACGGGCGTCGGGAGAAGAAGGCTAATTTGTAACATCGCAGCTACCATGCAGCCTCGAATGCACATGCTGCTCCTCACTAAGATATAAGGTGCACTATGTTTGTGTATGGGGAGCGGTGGCGCAGTGGTTAGCGTGCTATGCTATGGAGCCAGCGGCCTGAGTTAGATTCCCGCTGACGGCCAACACCAGTGAAAATTTTCTGAACTGGTCCGGGGCCTCCCCTAGGTCGACTCAGCCTCAAACGAGTACTTGGTGTGTAGACATGGCCACCCATACCCTCATGCACCGTGCCGGCCTTCGTAGGTGCTTGCGATCAGCACTTGCCCCAACAGCCTGTTAAGGCTATAGGGAGAAATCTGTCTCTTTGTCTGTGGAAACCACGGATTTAGGAAAGCAAGAAAAACCCGTGGGAAGAAAAGTGTCAATGAAATTGAAGCGTTCATCGCCACTGGCCCGGCGGTTTGAAGCTAACATCGAGTGCGCGCTACACGTTGCTGTTTATTGGGTTAAATGTTAAAGTGCACGGCTTTAGCCGCCTTGAGGGAGCCCCACGGTTTTCGGCGGTGGCCCAGCGTGTATCGCGCGTGTGTGCATAATACTTGATGCCCGAATTATGAGCACTTCAGTTGCTCAATTCTGTCAGCTGAATAAGTCTTCTATCGAAACAAGAGTGATCTGGAGCGATCGCACGGCGCTGAAGGGGGGGGGGGGGTGGTGTGTGGGGGGGGGAGCCGTAATCCGTGTTGCTTGCCCCCCGAATGTTTGCCCCCATAATCCAACCCTAATCTGGCCTGGCCCCGAGCTATGATATCGACTGCTGCAGTGCCGAGATGTGTTTGTGGCCTGCGCGTGTTTGTGCTCGGGATAAGGGTTCGTGCGCGGGGCTGGGGTGGCGGGGGAGGTGGTGGTGGTGGGGGTGGTGGTGGCAGCATTCCTCCGAGCTCTGTGTGGTCTCGCCATGCAGAGACCCCCACCCCTCTCTCTCTCTCTTCCTTCTCTGCCCTGGGATGCTTCTTTCTGACCGCCGTTCGGCTGCACCGCCTCGGTGGACTTTATGTTCGATGAGCCTTCGCCTCTCCGTACTCTCAATGCTGCGAGATTTTTAAGGTGTGGATTGATTGATTTATAACGCGGGTTGTTTCTTGCTCGACTCTAAATCCTTCCCCTGGGCAGCAGAGGACGTGCATACGCGGTAATCAGTCTTCACAAGGCGAGGCTCATCTGAGGCTTTCTTAATCGCCCAATAAATACATTAATGGTGTATTTGTCCACGTGTGCGAGTGTAAAAACGACAGAGCGCGAGCGTGGCGTTCTGACCACGGACTCGCATAGAGATGAACGCCGCCCCACTCGTGCCAGGAAACATCCTAACTGTTTCTTTTTTTTTCCAACTTTTTTTTCTGTGAAACTTAAGCAATGTATTTGGAGTGGCACGACAAAGCCCTTGCTTCCCTCCTTTCACGGCCGAATGTCGATCCTCGCTCTGCGCGTCCATCGCGAGCCGAGTTTGTCGCAGCCTACCAGGGTCACGATGGCACCGCACCGCCATCATCGTGGCCGACGCTGCCACTTGAGTCGCAGTGATGAGTTGGGGCTTGCAGGAATCGAACAGGGACAGCTGCCACTGAGGGTCCCCTTGGCTAGACTGCAGCAGGGGCATCAGAATGGTTCAGATGAGATGTGATGCAAGGCGCTTACAGTTGCCGAGGCATTTAAGTAAGCCCCTCCGATTAGCACGGTTGGCTACGTGCGGCGCGAAATAAGTTCTACATACATACAAGCGCCACTTTAACATTGGAAATCTTATAAAACTCCTCCTAACGGACAACCCCACACAGAATTAACAAAAAATACTTTGACGAATAATATCCCGTTTTCCTCGCTTTGAACTGCGCTGCGGGCTTCCCCGCTGCGTGAGCCGCAGGGCAGTTGCCTTTCCGCCCGCCCAGCGCTCGCACCTCCACGCAGCCCGATGGGGGTCGGTCTCTCGGCCGCGGCGCCCTCCGCCCCGGGGGGACACCCCCGCTGGGAGCCGCTCTCACGAGCGGGCCGTGCTGCGGGGGGGCCTCTTTGTGGGGTGGCCTCTTCAGGGATTTTTGTTCTCCCCACTAAGCCGGGGCGGTGCGGCCCAGGAGGCTGAGTTACCGTCTCGGGGTCAGGGTGCACGCCGCAGGGCGGCGGTCGGGGCAATCCCCCGCCCCCCACCCCCCACTATGCCCCCTCCCCCTGCCACCCCCCCCCCCCCCCCAAAAAAAGAAAGGCCAATTTCTGAGAAAATTAACCGCTCCTTGTGAAAAGATCACAAGGAGACAAACGTGCTTTGAAGCATTTGGCGATTCTTAGCGGAATGCGTGGCCTTTGTTTATATTGTGCACCCTTCTATTCTTCGCAAGCAAAATTGGTGGCGCTCCTATTCAAATAGAAAATGGAGGCCGGCTATCGTCGTTTCCAAGATATGACAGGAGCTTAACTGACCAAGGGTGATTGTGCTAAAGAGAGACTGGCCCCCTCCATAGGAATGTGGAGTTTACACCACTGGGCGAAAAACAGTAGGTTCATTTTAGCACTTTCAAATTGTTAGACTTTTTATTTTGTGTATCTTATGAAGAATTGACACTGCCTGGCCCGTTTTCCACTATTTGACTGTGCGTATAGAGACAAGGCTGTGCATTTACCATAGGGTCCAATGTTCTGCTGGTGCAACTTTCTCTGGCATTTAATTTCTGAGCCTTCCGCCCTTCTCTCAAACATTCCCTCTTGTGATCGGGGCGCACGTAGATCAGCCAATGCACAAGGCTCCCCGCTTGCCGTGGGGCCTCTGGGCTTGTCAGATAAGATGGATGGAAGGGAAAGCAGAAACTCCTATCTCGACTGCTGCATCATGGACAACGCGAGCATTCTTGTGTAACAGCCACCCTTTCCACGAGTCCTTGGGGACTCTGATATCCACGAATGTTGAGGATAACGGGGAGTGCTTGTCCACTGATAAGAGCAAGAAGCGCAGATTTGTGGGATAGTCAAGGGTAGTTATTTTGCTTTGAGGTAAGTGCGATCATCGGTTTGCATTTGGTCAAGAATCAACGCATCTCCGTGGTCGGGGTGAGGGTTCAGCGGAGCTCTCACGTCGGTTGGCGACCTGAGCCAGCCGTGAAAGTTCCACGCGGTCGGTGCGCAGTGACAGCCAGAGGGGACACCACGTGCAGGGACCGGGAGGGTGACTTACATGTCTACACGTTTTGCTCAAACGAGTCGGGAAAATATCCACAAGATGTGGCAGTGCAGCAAAGGGAAAAGTGCAATCGCTGCTTGGGATACAAAAATTGGCCATCATCGATAATTGTCAATTTTATCAAGACATGTTCAAAATGTTGGTTGATTTTTTGTACATTTCAGATGAACTGCAAATTACGCTGCAATAGGGCACATAAGTAAACAATTTGAACCGCACTGTGTTTGCTCACTGCAATGTCATCGCGTAGCTAGCGAGTTACCCGTGGCCAACTGGAGGTGACCACCTGTTGCAGGCCCACTTGTCCCCACTTACATAAATTAGATCACTCAGAATTAAATCACCACTGCCTCCTGCATGGGGTCAGGTCTCTAAAGCGAAAGTTTTTTCTCGGGTCAGCACGTTGTATTGTGTGTTAGTGTGAGAAGAAAATAGAGCTCCGTTGTCCCGAGGACAATGAAGGTGCATATTACTCATTCACCGGTAGTCACCTCGCAATGTTGGGCACACACATTGCTATGTATCTCATCTATTTCCCCTGTGCTTTGTGATACATTCTGTGTGAAGTTATCAAATCAGTCAAGTAGTCTCTTTAGTTTTGTCCTTAGTTTTTACATTTCTAGGATCAAATAACAGACAAACGGCACGCACGGCATTTCACTCCGACGCCACGCATGAAATGCGACGGATCGTGGAAGCCGCGTGTGGTGGTGGTGGTGGTGGTGGCGGCGGCAAGCTGAGAGCCGGCACAGGGCCGCGGCACACGCGTTGACAGACAAACAAAGCGGGGGGGGGGGCCCATGGCCACTTCTCGCTCGCTGGCAAACACAAGGCCTCTGCGTCCCCACGTGGCAGGGCGCCGCGACTCCACCAGAAACGTCCCTTTGTAGCGAGAGTGCCACGTGACCGGCATGTGGTCGCGTGCGAGGGTCTTCGGCACCAGATGCTGCTCGGGCCACGTGGACGTATCGATTTCTGCGTAGATTATCCACCGTCAGATACTGTCAATCGGCTCATTGTTCTTTGATAATTGCAATTGATGTTAAACTGTATCATTCATCAGCTGCATTAAAGTGGGCGCTCACCACGATTACCGCCGCCCACCCCCATCGCGCTGAAGTTGAACAATCATTGTTTGTGCAACAAATGGACCTGGTTAAGAATTCCCCCCTGGGGCATGAAGCTGATGCGTTCGCTGGTCTCCTCTTCTCCTCCTCCTCCCCCGCAGAGCCCAGGAAGAAGTACCAGGTGCGGCTGTCCGCCTACAGCGACGAGGGCGAGGGATACGAGGCGGACCAGACCATCAGCACGGCCGACTGCGCGGGTGAGGCTCTCGCGCCACGCGGCCACAAGGGGCCCAGCGCTCCGTGCCGCACGCTACGTTGCGGCCGGGCGGGGAGAACAGCGTCTCCCCTGGCTCGGACTGAGCGTGGACGATGCTCACCTCCTCTAGGGCAGCCCTGAGCCCATTTATAACAGGACAACCACTTCTCACAAACTGGTACTCGTTTTATTGACTCGAGAGGAATGATGGCATCACTTGAGTTGAACTTGCAGTGTTCCACTTCAGAGGCTGGCGCTCTGCTGCATGCTCGATCGTTACCTAAACTGAGGTCTTCTTTGCAGAAATATCACATCGATTGGCAACGCTTTAGTCGGGGAATAACAAAGAAATTGTTCTCATTACGTTGCGATACAATTCATGGCAATAATGCCACAGAGTGACTTGGGCAGCTTCCCCAAACTGCGAATACATCCTCTGCCAATCGGGTTCCTCGAATGAGGGTCGAGCACCAACGCCACTTGGCTGGGTCCGGAACCACAACACCACCACCACCAAGGGGTCCTGCACTCATCAGGATCAGACAAGAGCCTGGACCACCATGGGCCATCCGAATGGAAGTTCCCCGAGGCACGGCCTTCAACACAGAGGAGTCTTCGGGCTTGAGAATGAGAACGAGGGCCATTTGGCTACGCTTGACTCTAAATCTCCCCCTCCCCCACTGCTTCGCTGGCTAATGATTGATTTAGTGGACCTGGGTGATTGGGATAGCCGAGAGGTTTTTATTGGCAGTGCGCGTGTACCAAGTGCTCGTGTCCTGCCACCCAGAGGCAATATCTGCAGGGAATAATCAACTGCTGCCACCTGCTCGAAAACGGCATTTGAAACCCACTCACATTATTCACACGGGCAGGCCATTATGTGGCGGTGGCCTCTCCTATGTCCTTAATTTTAAAGAGACCCTATTGATTAATATATATGTTACCGATGTAGCGCTGCGTACCCGTGTCGCCAATGCAAAATGAGGGTAAAGAATCTCGGTGAGAGAATCCTGGTTAAATGCGGGACACTGTTGTGAGTTGCAGCGCCCCAGCCAGATGGGACTAGGAGGTCCACAGACGCGGAGTGACGCGTTGTGAGATTCAAGGAGGCAGGAAATGGAGAGAGGACGGAACTCATTTCCTTGCCGTCGTCCGTCACCCCCGCGCCTCCCCCCCAAGTGGAATTCTCCGGACTCGCCACCGTGTGAGAGGCATAATATTGCTGTTAGGAGGCGCAGGAAACCCACGCGGGGGTCGATCACAATGTGAGCAGCAAAACGTTGTTTACACTTCCTGTTGGAACAACTAAACGGGTCAATTTTCACAACCCAAATGGTCGGCGATATGAACGGTCTCGCCTAACGGAGCTTTGGGCCTACCCAGCGTAACGGTGGCTGTGCAGTTGCTGCATTCACACGTCATGGGTCGCAGCAGCAGCAGCAGCTTCCACCGTTTCGCAATCGTTGCGTTATTATGTAGAATGGGATGGAGCGGTGGCACGGCGGTTAGCGCACTTGTGCTAACCGTCATGCCACCCGGCTCGATGAGTTTGATTCCTGGTCATGGTTTTCATCAGTGGCGAGTGATATCCTTTACCACTCCACACTGACCAGCGTAGAGAAGTATGGTCAAACAACGCCCTTGAGCGGCACTCGATGGGGACGCCTTCATTCAGCACTCGTGCACCGCATGCACACATGCTCCCACCACATGCCTACTTGCTCACCTTCATGCACCTTCATCTAGCCTTGCAGACTGTTGGGGCAAGTGCTGTTAGCGAGCAGCACCTATGAAGGTTGGCACGGCACACGAGGGGGTGGGTGGCCAGCATCACGCCTAGCCGCCTTTGTCTCCCCAGTAGCGATCTTTTTACACAATGCACCAGCTACTCATTTGAGGCTGAGTCGACCTAGCGAAGGCACAGAACCGATTCGGATAATCATCACTGCCATTGGCCATGAGAGGGAATCGAACTCGGGTCGTCGAGTTCATCGTAACGCGGTAACCGCTTCGCCACCGCTCCCCACACGCACGCACACAAACACACACGCTCACACTGTGAAACACACTCGCTCACACTCGCACGCACGTACGCAATCACGCGCTCACACGTACGCCTCCCATGCCCCCCTGCCACGTGCCCCCCAGCCGTGCGTGGGAAGTCGGCGCCGCCGCCACCGCCGCCGCACCGCCTGCACGCGCGCACCAACGGCTCGCGAGCCGTCGCCCTGCACTGGCTCGCGCCCGTCTTCAGCCACGGCGGCGGCAGCCTCAACTACACGCTGCGCTGCAACCCCGTGGGCCTCAAGAACGCGTCGCTCGTGCGCTACGTGCCACACGTGAGTGGGGGGGCTGCCGGCGCGTGCAGGACTCTCTCTCCAGCGCGACTGTTGTAGCTGCTCTTGTGCGGGCATAATCGCAGGGGTCGGGAGGGCGAGATGGTGTGCAGGAGGTCGTGTGTTCGATCCCGGCCCTGACGCCTGCTGCTGTATATTTGGAGTTTGCGTCTCTCTCTCCCTGTGGTCGTGTGGATTTTTCTCCGGGTTTTCCGTTTTTTCCCCTCCACATTTAGAATCAAGCGTTTAGAGTATTTGGCTGCTATACATGTCCACGTGATAAGCCACTTTGTTGAGTTATCATTTGTGACTCGGAGGCACGGAGCCCGGCTCGAAGTTCCTCAAGCGCTCTACGAGCCTGGTGCACCAGGTGCAGAGGCAGATGTCGCTGCTACCGCTGCTGCCACTGCTGCTGCTGCCGCTGCTGCCACTGCTGCTGCTGCACATGTGAAGGGGGATAGGAGTTCCGGAGAGAGCGAGACCAGCCACGGAGAAACGATTATCGGCACTCACTGCCCTTGACTTTGGAACGTCGAGCAGGTTGAGGGATGACCTGGCCACGATGGATGTGCGCGCGCTGCCAACGCTGTGCAGGCTTCACGTGTGTACACACATGTCACGTGTGTGTACACACATGCCACGTGTGTACACACATGCCACGTGTGTACACACATGCCACGTGTGTGTACACACATGCCACGTGTGTGTACACACATGCCACGTGTGTGTACACACATGCCACGTGTGTGTACACACATGCCACGTGTGTGTACACACATGCCACGTGTGTGTACACACATGCCACGTGTGTGTACACACATGCCACGTGTGTGTACACACATGCCACGTGTGTACACACACATGCCACGTGTGTGTACACACATGCCACGTGTGTGTACACACATGCCACGTGTGCGCCGTGTGTGTATATTGCCACGTGTGTGACGTCTTGTTGCGAGTGCAGGCTGCGTGGATGCGTGCTGCGTGTACTGTGCACGCCGCGTGTGTGACGTGTTGCTGTTGTTGTTGTTGTTTGCTCCCCTTGTGCCGCTCTGTGCCGCCGCTTTGCGCGGCAGCACGGAGGAGCGGCTGCTGGTGGAGGGGCTGCAGCCGGACACGCGCTACGAGTTCGCCGTGCGCCTGCACCTGGGCTCGCTGCTCAGCCCCTGGAGCCCCGTGGTGTACCACTCCACCCTGCCCGAGCGTGCGTCCCCCCCACACTCGCCCCCACACTCACTCCCACGCTCACCCCCACACTCACCCCCACGCTCACCCCCACACTCACCCCTACACTCACCCCCACACTCACCCCCACACTCACCCCCACACTCGCCTCCACACTCACCCCCACACTCACCCCCACACTCACCCCCACACTCACCCCCACACTCACCCCCACGCTCACCCCCACGCTCACCCCCAAACTCACCCCACGCTCACCCCCACGCTCACCCCACACTCACCCCCACGCTCACCCCCACGCTCACCCCCACACTCACCCCCACGCTCACCCCCACACTCACCCCCACACTCACCCCCACGCTCACCCCCACGCTCACCCCCACGCTCACCCCCACGCTCACCCCCACGCTCACCCCCACGCTCACCCCCACGCTCACCCCCACGCTCACCCCCACGCTCACCCCCACACTCACCCCCACGCTCACCCCCACGCTCACCCCCACGCTCACCCCCACACTCACCCCCACGCTCACCCCCACACTCACCCCCACACTCACCCCCACGCTCACCCCCACGCTCACCCCCACGCTCACCCCCACACTCACCCCCGCGAGGTCGCGGGGCGCTCACCGGCGTGACGCCGCGGCCCTGGCTGAGAGCAAGGCGACGTTGCTCCGAGTGTTTGACGCCGCCACCGCGGACGGTCGTCAATGCCTCGCGCAACAACAACAACACAGCGCTCGAGTGTGTCGCAGAGCCAAGCAGCACACACGAGGGTGGTGCTGCACGCCACCTACGCCGCTAGACGGCGGCGTGGCGGCGTGCAGCGTTATGGAGGCAAGGGTTGGTGGATCACACAAAGGTTGGGAAACTCGCTTCGCAATGGCGGTACGGCAAAACGAGCAATTACCATCTGTTTCCATCTGTACGGGTATAGAGTGTTGCCCCTGGCACGTGTGCGTTGTTCTCCACGTGCACGGGTTTGCATGTATAAACACTCATCTATTGGCCGCATCAATCTTAGATTAAAAACCCAATGTAGCGGCAGGACCCTTCTGAAAAAGAGTCCTATGACTCGGCATGGCTCTCCTGGACAAATAATTGTGAACATTAATTATGAATACCCACGTCACACTGTCCATCACGGTATTACACCAACACATCTCCACTCACGTGACGCACCACGGCAGTGCCCACCAGCGGCACACCTCTCCCGGCACACCGCCCGCAAGCGTCCATCGCACCGCGACCTCACCGCGATCTCACCGCGACCGCACCGCGACCTCCGTTAACCGCCGCTGTGGCGCTCGGCGACGCGGCGCTCACCGTCGCGCCGTGCGCGAGCCTGCCGTGTTCTGCCCGGCCGGCTCGGCGCGCTCCACTCGCGCTCGGGGGATGTTTGTTGTCGTGCCGCGTCGTCGTTTACCGCGGCCGAGGGCCCCCGGGGCTGCGAGAGCGCCCGTCAGCCAGAGCCGGCATCGACGCGCCTGGTGCCGCTGTTTAAATATTTAGTTTCCGTTCCAACGATTTGTGGTGGTAACCTGATTTACTGTTAGGAACGACGACAGATGGTGTCACCTTGTGCAGGATTGGGAATATAGCGGAACGTATGGACGCACACACACATACCCACGCACGGATGTGCATAAACCGCAAATACCTAAACGTAGAGCCTTAACAGAGTCTTGGGGCAAGTGCTGTTAGCGAGCACCTATGAAGGACAACACGGCACACGAGGGGGCGGGTGGCCAGCACCACGCCCGGCCGCCTTTATCTCCCCAGTGGCGTTGTTTTTTACTCACCACACCAGGTACTCATTTGAGGCTGAGTCGACTTAGGAGAAGCTCAGGACTGGTTCAGATGATGATGACTGGTGTTGGCCAGTAAGCGGGACTTGAACTCGGGTCGCCGCATTCGTAGACTGTTGATGGATTGGCAGCCAGAGCAGGGAACCACGAAGATGAGCACTGCAGAGACGGAGCGATGAGATTAGCTGCGATGTAAGAGTAAGACGGACTGTAGCATTGCAAGGCCGTGAGGGATGGCTACAGCGACCCGGGGAAGCACCGAGTCACGTGCAGCTTGGGGCCTTGGATCCTTCAGGACTGGTTCCTAGTCTCGTCGCGCGCGCTGAACGTGAGCTATTGGAGCAGTGTGATTGATGTCCTGAATTCAACCAGCTGAGCATACACAGAGATGCTAAATATCTTGTCGAAGAGAGAGACTTGTGATACCATTCTTGTCTGATACAAGCTTTTATTTCTTTTTGCAATTTATTGACAGGTAATTTTAGGTTTTCGAGTTTGGTTTTCAGCCACACAGTGGCCTAATCTTATTAATGACCCTTTAGCTCGGTCCTTAACATCTGCTTTAGAATAGATGGCTCATTTATTTTGGTAATTCCCCTTGGAAATTACGGGGCTAGCCGTGGGAATCGAACCGCTGACTCGGAGCAAAATGATTGTAGGTCGCGCGCGATGCCGGGCTGGTTAATTGAGTTGGCGTCTTAATTGATTAAGGAGCTTTAGACAAAGTTTCGTGCCTTTCAGTCGTTATCTCTTGACTTCACGGTAATTTGATTGAACGTGACGCGCGTTGGGCCACGGTGTTTTCCCCAGGTTAAATTAATTCATTTTAAGAGGCCGCTATTGCCGCCACTAGCAGTCACGGACTCTCCCATCAGTCTGCACGCTCGCGGTGCAAAACGAAAAATCCACTTCGATCGTCCTACGGGGAGACCGGCCCCCCGTCGCGATGCCGTGAAGTTTCTACCGCCGGCTCGGCCGCCAACAGCCGCGAGCGGCTCCATGGGCGCTCGTGAGGGCAGCGACGCGCGTAGACCGGGCCCCGCGGGCTGCCGAGGCGGTGCTCATCGTGTGACCGTGCGCCCCGCAGGCCCCTCGGGCTGCCCGGGAGAGGTGCGCGTGGCGGCCGTGAGCCCCCGCTCGGCGCTCGTGGCCTGGCAGCCCCCGGACGAGTCCAACGGCACGGTGACGCGCTACACCGTGCTCTACGGCACGCCGCAGGAGTGGGCCGCCGGCGCGTGGCGCTCGCTGCACACCCACGGTACGTCGTGGGCACTGGACGCACGGCACGCTGGCAACACCGCGGTGTAACGGGCGAGGTGCTGGCACGGACACGCACCTCTCACCGCCATACGTGAGAGAGAGGCCCGCGAAAACGGCCGCCACCCTGCCTCGTTTGACGATCACGATCATTTCCATTCATGAAGCCGCTGATTGCGCCTGCCGCGCGTAAATCACAGCGCGCGACATCACCGGGTCGGAGCGATCCTCGCGCCCCCGTGGTGCAGAGCGCGGAGGAGACTGTGGCTCGTGGCACACGGACAAGCTCGCACTGAAACACCGCGGGGGGGGGGGGGGTACACCACAACTCGGAACACACCGAGTGCAGCACGACCGTTCAATTCCATTTCACTCAAGAAGCGAATTTCGATGTTCTCATCCTCCCACATTCATAATGCACGATGGGCCGCACGTGCGACCGACACGCACGAGCCCAGAATAACAACAAGAACGACGGCGGCGACACCGGTCGAGTGTGAGAGAGAGGGGGGGGGGGCGCGAGGACCCTGCCGTTGTGACTCCACGCTCCTCCACGCTCGCCGCCAGCGTGCACACAGGACATGCACGGTCACTTTTTGTCAATCCACTGCTGGATGGGGTTCTCCCCACTGCCGTTCGGGCCCTGGGGGTTTGTTTGACTGGAAGCAATGGTCAAGTTATATTGAGCACGGCAAACCTGGATTGCAACCCAGCGTCTCAGCGCTGCAGGCTCGGCTGGGTACCTCTGGTACAGTACTCTTATGATTCGTAATAATAATATTATTTTCCGGACCCCCCCCCCCTTCCCGTTGTGCGCGTGGCGGTGTTGCCGCAGGCTCGGAGCGTGTGGCGCGCGTGGACGGCCTGCAGCCCAGCGAGGTGTACGTGTTCCGTGTGGAGGCCGTCACGGCCAGCGGCCCGGGCCCCGGCTCCCCGCCCGTCCGCGTCCACATCCCGCGCGCTCAGCCCGGCGGGGCCGCCCGGAAACCCGGCGGCGCCAGAACCTCACACGCGCACGGTGAGCGCTGTCGCCGCACCTCGCTCCACGCTGCCCGCTCCCTCCTCCGTGCTCCGCAGTTCCTGTTCCGCAGTTCGTGTTCCTTGCTCCCGCTCCTCGCTTCGTGCTCCTCCGTGCCCGTTGCTTCATTTCCTGCACGGTCGGCTCCGTGCGGCGCAAAAGAAGTTGAACGCGCGCACGTGCCGCGTTCTCCGTGCTCGCTACCCCGTGCCCCGCGCTTCATGCCTCGCCCCGTGTGCCACTGCGCAGGGGGAGGCTCGGCACCGGCGGAAGGGGCGGACGAGTCGGCGGGGGGCGACGTGCCGGGCGACGGCTCCGCCACGGCCATCACCATCGGCGTGTGCATCGCGCTCGCCTGCATCGTGCTCTGCCTCATCGTGCTGCTCGCCCGCACCAAGGCCAGGTACACCGCCGCCGCCGCTGCTGCCCACCCCGCCGCCCCAGTGCGACGAGGGCGGCCGGGGGCAGGCTTCTCATTGCTGCAGTGCCAATACGCACGCACGCGCACACACGCGCACACACGCAGGACTGACAAACGGAGTTTCCGCAGTGAGGGAGGTGACGCGTCGCGTCCCTGCGGGGAGGGCAGCTGCAGTGCAGACGAGGGGGGACGTCCTAGCGACTGCTCGAGGAATCGGGGCTCACGGCTCCACGAGAAAGGGCTGCAGCCGTAGCGGTTGCGGAGCAGTGACGAGGAGGAGGAGGAGGCCAGTTCGCAGTGAGAGCGTGGCAGTGGTAACGACTGCGATAGGCGGCGGCAGAGAGTGACGAGGCGGAGGCGACGGACGTGATGCCCGGTGATGTCTCTTGCCAGTCACATCAGGACAGTCAATTGCTTTGGCTTCCACATCACCGATTAATGAACACGCAGCCTGGGTAAAGCAAACACGAGACGGACATCGCTGTCTCCCCGGAGCCCACGCGTCCCCCGCCCTCTCCCCACACACGTCGCACGGTGTTTGCGGTGTGCTTGCCTCTGCATCATCGTGTCCATGTGCGTTTGTAAGTGATGTCCACGTGTGTGGTATCGATATACTCTGTGACGTTATTCGCTCTGTGACCAATTGGCTCGTTCAACACCCTGCACCGACTGGTTTGTGCAATGGAGGTCATCGTGACCCATTGGGTGAAATTTAGAAGTCAATGTATTTAACAAAATCAAGACATATCATATATTGCAATCAATAGAATTCACCCACTATCATATAGGAACAAGCTTAGCTTCGAACATCACTTATAATTAGTTATGAACGCTAACTCGTAATCATTTACACATAAAATGTACATATAGTACGTGTGACATGAGGGATATAAACACTTTGGTACCCCCGCCTCTCACAAGATATTTGGCTGCTGTGGCAGTGACTCCGCCTGGCGCTAGGAACAGGGTGACAACTTGCCCTTCTCAAGACTCACACGTGACTACTAGGCTGGGTCCATTGCGTGCTGTGGTAAACGGTGGTCATCTTTACGGACAATACGAGTCCATGCGATGCCAGCTGATGCCGCGCCCACGTGCAGTGCTCCTCGCGCAAACTCCTGTTCTGCGCCAAACTCCTAATCCGCTGTCGTGGCGGCCGTCGCCGCTGCGCCGTGGGGTGGGGGTCTGTGCGCAGTCACAGCCACGGCTGCCGCCGGCGCGTTCGAGCGTCGCCGTGGATTTGCCACCAGCAAATTTTCCCTCGTCCCTCGGCGATGTAAACCGTGGCCCTCCCGTGCATACCGTAAACCAAAAAAAGAGAGTTGAAATCTTTACGGAAGTGAACGACGTTGAGTCTTCCAAGACCTTGTCAGGGAAGTGCCGTTGCGGCTGCCGTGCGGAGAGGACGTTCTGTGTGGAGAAACTGGCGTGATGAGAGACGGTCACAGGCCAGTGCAGAATAATCGTGGAGCATAAGTGGCTGGGTTCTGTTGCGAATTGAAACTGAATCGTGGTAAAGGCTGCGCGTGGGGCCTGCTGATTCACGTGTTAGTGGCAACCACTTTCCTCCACTTTCTCATTCGTTAACTGGCAAATCGGCAGGACACAGCGGTGATTTTCCCGCTTCTTGTGAAATGTTGTCCTAAAACTACCACCTCTGCGTCGCACGTGAATCAGCTTTTGTTGTTCACGACGCCGATCTCGAGTACGATGCCGACCTCGGGGGAGAAACTGTCGCTGGGTAGTGTCGCCTGTCCAACATCTCCCTGCTCCAGGGTGCTTGTGTAATGACCTTGCACAACGGAGAGTGTCGCATGAGGGTCCCCCCGGGGACGAGTGTGGGGGGTGGAGGGGTGGAGGGGTGGAGGGGTGGAGGGGTGGAGGGGTGGAGGGTGGATTTACACCTCGACATCGCCGGGCCCCCTCGCACGTCACCGCGAGGGCGATCGATGGTCGATCGCCCGGGCCGGCGGAATCATCGGGAATAAATAAAATGATTTAATTGAGCCGCGCGCCCTGAGGACGCTCGCTCGTGATGGAGCAGGGACAGCGCTGATCCACAGCAGAGCCACTCGGCAGAGAGGCAGCGGTGTCGGGCAGCAGGAGCCGTCCCGCGTGTCATGGAACATGTCACGGGAGAGTCACCGGAGAGACGCACCGCACTCCCTTACCGCTTCATTTGCCCTTCGCCATCGATGTACTGTACGGTATTTCTTGCTCGTGATACGACTGCATTAGCATCGTTTGCGCGCTAGATACCGTTGCGCCGTGTGTGCGATGGGCTCAGAGGCGTCAGTGGATAGTTTATGTATCATCATCATCGGTGTTATTATTTCGCTTGTTTATCCAGGGAAGCCTAAGTCTCAATACTCTTGAGGGGCCTACCGAGTATTCGCAGTCAGAGCGATGTTGCTCTCTGTGATCCCAATTTCGTCATTTACAGGCAAGGTCATTTATTGGCATTAGGATGTTTGGCCAATGCTAGCTACCTTTTGTTTCTTTAGCTTATAGGAGGAAACCAGGGAACGCAGAGGAAACGAATGTAGAACAGGGAGAGAACGTACAAACTCCACGCAGAGAGGCATCCGATGTTGGGAATCTAACCCATGCCCTTCTTTCTGCAGGGCACAAGTGTTTACCACTGCACCCACCCTGCTACCAATGTAAATGTATAGCCCCTATATATTTTATGATCAGTGTGCATGTGTGTATTTTCATACATTGCACTGTCCTATGGTTTCATGGGTTTTCCAAGATGAAGTTTAACTTCTGTAAAAATGTTGCTTATCAATGATGCCAATGACCTTGTGGCTGATGTACCTTCCCTGTTTAAAACGATAATTATAAATTGCACCATACAGTGAGTCTTATGCGAGGAGCACCATAACTTGACAGCATTATCACATTATGGCATTATTTTTTTCCGCTTGAAATGCTTTCGTAAACATTGTGAATTATCGACATTTCTCAGAACCCAGTGAACCCTTGTCCAAACATCTCAATTTAAACAAACTCCTTCGCCGGGCCGTGGTTTATTTGCAAGTCACACGTGCTGCCGCGCAGCACGCTCCGGTGAATGTGCGCCAGGTGAAGGAGGCGCGCGGTCAGGCAGGGGTCGCGCGTGCGCTCGTCCCCACTCCGCGGGTGTCTCCGGGGCTGGACGCCTGTGCCGGTTCTAAGGCTGGATGCGCGAGAGCACAGTGGCGCTCGGTGAACCTGGCGGCGGGCAAAACGTGGCGTTGACATTTCAAAGACGTTTCGCATACGCTGCTGGAAGAGAGGGAAACGGGTCGTGTGCGCGGTGGAGGAGCACGCTGCGCACATTTTCCCTCCTCCTCTTCAGCGTCCACAACATTAGCTTTCTACGGTGCACGGCGTCCAGTGTAAACGTCACTCAAACGGGACGGGAAGGGAGATGAGAGATCTGGCACAGCGGGGCGGATTCCCACACGGTGACCCCTCTCGCTTTCGGTACCAAAGGGGTGAGATTTTTGGATAAAATGCAGGCTGACGGAGAATGCCGCCACGATAGGGAAGAGGCTGTTGTAATGCATTTCATGAGTGAAAATAGCGATACGAACACGCTCCAAACATCAGTGTGAATGTTACACTACCTTTTGATTGAAATGTATTTTACATTGCCTGCATTGTGCCCGCCCCTATCCCGAGCTTTTATATTGAATGTCCCCGCTTCAAACAGGGGCTCATACCACAAGGCACGCTACGGGGCTGATGTGTGTGTGTGTGCGCGATGTCTCCACACAGGGGCTCGTACAACAAGGCTGAGCGCGCTCTCTTCCCGGGGCAGCAGCAGCAGCAGCAGCAGGGGGCAGGAGCAGGGGGCAGCCCTGGCACGGCCGCTCACCTCGCCTCGTCCTCCGCTGCCCACGGCGGGCGCCTCCACTCCAAGGTGTCCTTATGATATTATTATCATCTCATTCATAATCAACTTACGGCTACTTGTTTGTTTGCTTGGACCTGTGACATATCTGCACGCGTCCACATCTCACGAGCAGAGGCGGCTGGGAATACGAGCACGCGTGACAAGTCGAGGCACGGCAGCCTGCGTTTTAATAATTGATGAGACGTTTTGACGACGGGCTGATGGAGGCGATGATCTCTCCGCCCCCCCCCCCCCCCCCGCATCGTTAAAATACAGGCGGCCGTGCCACAACTTGCCGCCGTGATTTACATCTCCCTCCTGGGGATGTGTCACCGCCGGTTAACGTCGTTAGCGAGAGAACGCGGCAGGGCGGGGAGGCCCCATCGGAGCACGGTGGCCACCCCCTGGCAGGCCGAGAGCTTGAAGCTCTCGGCCTGCCAGGGGTGTCGGCAGTGCGGTGGCACCCGGCATCTAAGTCTGAATTTTCCAAATTGTGAAGGTCAACTCAACCGGCCGTCTTTGCAAGGTCAAGAAAATAGATTGCCATTTTCTGGGAAGCCATCGGTGGCTGTCGTTTGGAGAGACTGGCTCCCGCCACGGGAATGTGGAATCTGCACCCATGTGTCAGAGCCACCCGAGGGGAAGAGTGCCATCCCCTGTTCACGCGCTCTCTCCATACCCAGCTGTGATGCGACGTCTGGCACCGAGCCGCGGGCCTCCCGCTCCCGTGGGTGGCAGCCAGAGGGCCTCGCCCACAGTGAGCCCTGTTGCCGGGGGTGTTGGACTGGTGATAGCAGGGCAGCGATTTCGCGTACAGCGCTGTAGTTAATTAGCCAAGCAAGCATTGTTATTCCATGAAGGAGGCTCTATGACTCTCAATCCTTAATATCTCACTCATCGATGTTTTAATCTTTATTTACCCCACAATCAACCGGAAAATTATTGGTTTAAGTAATTCATAACCAAAGCGTGATTCAAAGTTACCCGCTGATTGGCACATTACTGATGTCGTGGACGATCCAACAGTTTTTTGGCTATAAACAACAACCGCGAATCACCCAGTTATCGAACATCGCTCAATCCACCAACATCCACCGCAAAATAAAAGTGACTATCACCTCATACGGTAAAGGAATTGCCTTTTTAAAACACACACCCAGGGGCTAAATATTTAACAAATTATTAAGTCTGTCTGAAACACGTAAGCAGCCGAGGCGTCGAGAATCGGCACTCGCAGGTGAGAGATAACGTGAGCAAAACTGATAACCGCAGTGGCCAGGCGCGCTGATGCTGCTGCTGCTGCTCCTGAGGAGCCCTAAGCGAGACGTGGTGTAATCGCCGCGTCGTGTCGCGTCGTGTCACGTCGTCCTCTCTCTCCTCGCTGCCGCAGGGCGACGCACGTCTGGCTGTGGACGGCCTGGGCTCCAGGGCGGCCTGGCGAGGAGCAGGCCGAGGCCTGTTCGGGCTGGGCCAGCAGCAGCGCCAAGACAAACGACTTCCCGGTACTGGCACGTCGCTTGTCGCTTCCCCGTGTGTCCTGCGTGTACATGCATGTTGATGTATGTTGAACTTCTTTCGTGCCGTACCTAGGCAACCATGCTAAGCGCAGGTGTGCGCTTAAGGGTCGCCACTTCGGAGGTAGAAAAAAAAACGGGACACATCCTGGGAAGAGGAATATTTTACGAGACCGCAACAGGGGAGAAGTACACGTAATTGTATTTTTAGTGGTTTATCGGTATTGTTATTATCACACGACTGACAAAACTGGAACATTTATTTCCCTGAGTAAACTTATAAGATTTCCTAGGACAGCTACCCGGAAAAGCAGACATCCTGGTAAAACCAGGACAGGTGGAAGCCTGGAAGGAAAAGGGACAAGCGTTGGGAACGTTGTGTTGGGAACGTTGCTGTTGTGAATGCCACACAGAATGCTCCACCACTGCTATCAAACACAGATGCATAGGTGTGAGAGAGAGCGGTTCAAAGGTGCGCTTCGAATCAATTGTTATTTTCGCTTGTGAATTAGTATAAAAAAAGTTTCACTCCGACTGAAATATTAGCATAGATCAATAGGTCGTTGTGAATGTTTAAGGACCTGGGTACAGATGCTACCCGCGGTGGCGCAGGCTCCCCTACCAGAAGCATTGGGACGCCTCGACCACGAAGCTGACATTCAGGGGGCACTCGTGTGGTGCCGCTGCGCCAGGGCGTGCATCCACGTCGCCTGGCCACTAGAGGGCCCCCTGTCAGCACGGGGCTCCCACCATATCCATCAGTTGCACAATTGCCCATCTGACTCGGCCCTGCTTCAACTGGCAGATTCTGTCTCCTCCACCTTTCGTACCGACATACATTTGGCAGTCACCACAACGCGATGTTGCGAATCCAGCTGCTGGCTCCAGAGCACGGCGCGATTGGATACCACTCCTGCCGTCGGAGAACGCCCGCAGTGAACACGACTCCAAACGGAGACTCGTAGACTCACACAGAGACCCGTAGACTCACACAGAGACTCGTAGACTCACACAGAGACTCGTCGACTCACACAGAGACCCGTAGACTCACACAGAGACTCGTAGACTCACACAGAGACTCGTAGACTCACACAGAGACTCGTAGACTCACACAGAGACTCGTAGACTCACACAGAGACCCGTAGACTCACACAGAGACTCGTAGACTCACACAGAGACTCGTAGACTCACACAGAGACCCGTAGACTCACACAGAGACTCGTAGACTCACACAGAGACTCGTAGACTCACACAGAAACCCGTAGACTCACACAGAGACTCGTAGACTCACACAGAGACTCGTAGACTCACACGGAGACTCGTAGACTCACACAGAGACTCGTAGACTCACACAGAAACCCGTAGACTCACACAGAGACCCGTAGACTCACACAGAGACCCGTAGACTCACACAGAGACTCGTAGACTCACACAGAGACTCGTAGACTCACACAGAAACCCGTAGACTCACACAGAGACTCGTAGACTCACACAGAGACTCGTAGACTCACACGGAGACTCGTAGACTCACACAGAGACTCGTAGACTCACACAGAAACCCGTAGACTCACACAGAGACTCGTAGACTCACACAGAAACCCGTAGACTCACACAGAGACCCGTAGACTCACACAGAGACTCGTAGACTCACACAGAGACTCGTAGACTCACACAGAGACTCGTAGACTCACACGGAGACTCGTAGACTCACACAGAGACTCGTAGACTCACACAGAGACTCGTAGACTCACACAGAGACTCGTAGACTCACACAGAAACCCGTAGACTCACACAGAGACTCGTAGACTCACACGGAGACTCGTAGACTCACACAGAGACTCGTAGACTCACACAGAGACTCGTAGACTCACATGGAGACTCGTCGACTCACACAGAGACTCGTAGACTCACACAGAGACTCGTAGACTCACACAGAGACTCGTAGACTCACACAGAAACCCGTAGACTCACACAGAGACTCGTAGACTCACACAGAAACCCGTAGACTCACACGGAGACTCGTAGACTCACACGGAGACTCGTCGACTCACACAGAGACTCGTAGACTCACACGGAGACTCGTCGACGCACACAGAGACTCGTAGACTCACACAGAGACTCGTAGACTCACACGGAGACTCGTCGACTCACACAGAGACTCGTAGACTCACACGGAGACTCGTCGACTCACACAGAGATCCATATACCCACAGTGGACACGAGTTCACGATGCGCTCCACTGTTTGTTGTTCTGCGCCGCAGTCGCATTCATGCGATTGTTTTATTCTCCGTTTGGGGGAACATGACTGCACCTGCTGTGGCCAGTCCACCAGCTGTGATGTTAGACAGCCCGACTGCTTTCAACTGACAGTGAAACCTCGCCAGTCGGTATTGTTCACCTTATTACTTCCGAGGGTTCTCATCGGGGTATTTGAATACCGTATCTGGACTCACGATGCACCACCAGGTCAGGCGCGCGTCCGCCTCGCCGGTCTAACCGTGAACGGTCGCGGTGCCTCCGCAGATGTGCCAGCGGCCGCTGTTCTGCACGGAGGCCGAGGGGGAGGCACGCGAAGGCGTCTCGTCGCTGGACCCGGAGCGGTCGCGCGAGTCGTCGGCCCTCGCGTGCGCCGAGAGCAGCAGCACGAGCGGCTGCAGCTCGAGCCACGAGCCGTCGCCCATGGACGGCGCGCGTGCCCCGGCTCCCGGCTACTCGGGCCGCTTCTCGCAGGCCACGCTGGAGGACGTGGTGTTGCACCTGTGCTCCGAGGCGTCGCACGACTCTGCCGGCGTGTCGGACGACTGAGGACGACGCAGGCCGCTCGCTGGGCGGCGCGTCGCTCCGGAGTCTGGCCGCGACGGGCGGCGCCGGTCGTCTGCCCCAGCGATCGCCCCGGCTTCTGTCTCGGGGCCGCCCGGCCATGTCCGCGTCGCTGCCCGAAATCAGCGGCGGCAGCGGCGCCTCGACTGCCCCAAAGTGGATGGGTTCCTGCTCCGTGGGGCCCGCCGCTCACATCTGACGTAGCGTCCGGAGCGGTCGTTCCCAGCCTGCTCCCGCCCCCCGCCGCTGCACGTGCGTGTCGAGCACGGATTCTGCGCTCTCCGACCAGCGCCGAGTCTGTAGCGCCTGCCGTGACTCCGGAGGGGATTCCTAAAAGTACAAAAAAAGGAAACGTAAAAAAATATAACATTCAGGTTGACATCCACTCGCAGACAAGTTGGGAACGACCACTCGACAACACCTACAGATGTTACACGCCCTCTCAGGGGGAACCGTGCATTGTGCAAAGCCACTGCAGGATTAGCGAGTTAATGAAACCGTCAGTGATTGTACCTGAAGTTTATTTAAGCCACAACACCAAAGGAGGCCTTTCAGAAGTATCGTATTATTTTTGTTAAACCAAAGTTAGCTTAGTAAGTCGCGCGCATTTCCCTGGGTGGCTCTGCACTGTCCACGGCTCCTGACCCGCACTGTTCTCACGCAGCGCTCAGGTGACTCAAGTCAGGAACAAAACGTCGCGGTCCGCCGCGACCGCGTCACGGCGCCTTGCCACCCGCGAGGTGCAATACTACCTACTGTACAACGACCCAGTGACGGCTCTCGGCTCCGCCTAGAGCAGGCGACGCCTCCTCTCCGCCGCGGTTCCCTGTCGCGGCACGTGTGCGCGGGAGGCCACGGCAGCGTTCGCACCGACGCGCGACCGCGGCATTTTGAGTGAAATGTTTCGCCGATCGGGCCCCCTGCCCGCGGCGCCCCAACGCACCCCGACCGTCGTTTGCTAAGCGAGGATGTCTACGTTGGGGAGCCGTGCAGCGGCCGCCGCGTCGATGGAACCGCTCCGGCCTCCTGCACGTGCCGTGGTGGGAGCGAGACAATTGAGACGGAGGATGGAGCCTCCTCGGGGCGGGAGCCACGCGACCCCACTGCTTTTGAAATCTACCTCACGATGCCATGGCTGCGGTGCTGCTCCTACTGTTTAGGGTCGGAAATTCTAGAAGCCATTGCGTCCCGTATGCAATAGAGTGTTTTATGTAGACTTTGTTCACAAATGCAGCCGTTTAAAAAAAAAAGTGTTTTCATGCAGTAAGGCTGGCGGTTAATGTTGTTCGGTAACGTAATAATTTGTGTGCTTCTGGAGGGAGAAGACGCGACGCTCGCGTCGACGGTGACAGATGCCAAAACCCATCACGCGATTGTTGCCGAGAGCTTTTCCAAAACTTCCAAAATGTAAAAAAAAAATCTAAAATCTGCCAAAAAATTACCCCAAACCAAATAATTCATAATTGTATGAGTTTTCGGCTAAACCGCGTGCGTGTTATATCTATGTGTGTTTATTGTTTATCGCGTTGCTCAGTGGCCCTCTCGGGGTGAGGAGAGGTGAGGCTGCAGGGGAAGTGGAACCCCGAGGTCGCCGCCGCCACCACTCGCCGGCCGACTCGCCGGGCGTTCCGTCCGTTCAGAGCGTTGATATCTCACCATGGCTTGGGTTACTGGAGATTATTTTCGTTTTTCTCCTTTTGTTCTTGTTGTTGTTGTCTAGAATGACGTTAGAAGAATACGAGATGTCGGAACAGCGGTTCCCAAACACCCCTCCCCCGCCCAGTTTTGTCAGCCCCCCCACCCCCCCACGAGTAGAAAGTTGAATGTCTCCCACGACGCACGTGTGAGCTGGCGCGCACACGTGCGTCGACGTCGTTTTGAAGATCTGTCAAGTGGGAGCTGTTGTGAGCTGCACTGCACAGGGGGCCCCATTGAAGGGTTGGGTTTTGGGAACTCTCGTCCCAGAATCGAATTAACCAAAGCCCCCCCCCCCTCCCTTGATGCCCAACAAACCCAGGTGAGTCACTAGACTCCGAGTTACTACCTCTTGTTTGTGCTTAGAAAGACCCCCTTTTTGTTAGTTTCGAGTTACTAAAGTATGAGTTGTAGATGTTTTACAAAGAATCCATGCTGCTGCTGCTTGTTGCTGTATGGTGTTTCGACAGGGTAATGTCCTTTTAACTACTACTGTGTTCTTCCGCCTGTGCGTTTAGAGTGTCGAGTCTGCGTATGGTAGTGTAGTCCAGATGTAGTGTTAACTCCAGCTTCCCTTAGCCATTTCTAACTTAACAACGTTCTACCTTACAGGAAACCAAAGATTTTATTTAAATACCAAAAAGTAAGCTTTAAGAAGATTCGCTCGGACATTTTACGTGTTGTATTGTAAAGTTTTCACAAAAATATACCAGGCTTTTTCTTTTTATTCTGTTTAGGCCTGTCGTATTTAAGTAAGAACTATTGGCTTAATTTAGCCCCTCAAAAATGTATTACACAGCTTTACTTTCGACAAAAAACCAATCGCGTTGATGTTCTTTAAAATGACGACGGTGTTTTTTGTTAGTTAACAGGACCAAGGTTATGATGTTGCTACCTACAAACAATGAAACACTTAACATATTTGCCAAAGATAGTTTGCGTTGTTTTGGCAAGGTCATGAACAAATACCTCAAGTTCCAAATGCTCAAAACGGCATTGCGAATTGACTTGTTAAATGTGTGACGTCTGTGAGCTTTATTTCGTGTTTTGCGTTGTTGTTTTTTTTACGTTTGTTATATATTTCTCAAAGTGTGTGGACACTGTTGTTACCGAGACCCAGGACCGAGGACCTGTACATGATATAAGCGTTGTCTATTGCCAGTTGCTACGTCGATTGCGTGCGGCGATGATTGCCCCCCCACTGCCAGACCTTTCGTAATGAAGGCCACTGCCCTGACAGCAAACTGTTGAAGAATTGAGCTTCGTCAAGCGCGCTTGATCTGTCGATGTTATGGGCCACATGTCACGCCAGTGTTGGTTGGACATAAGTGGCCATGGCGTTCCCTCCCAATGGCTCTTTCCCCAAGCTCTTGCTGCCCTGCTCAATTCGAGAAATGTTTGCCCTTATCTTTTATAACTTTGATTGCGCTAGTTGATGCTGACCATTTGATGTTTTGGACCGTTTGGGCCTGTGCTCAGCAGTTGCGGCATTGTCAACATTTGAAATGTAATTGTGGTGATTTGGCTATTTACAAATTAATTATCTGGCATTAACGATGCCTACTCTGTTTTGCACACAATGCTGTCATGTGAAATTCCTTCATCAGTGAAAATTCCTTTGCCCTGCGTTGTCTAATCGCGAGGTGGGTAACCATTACGATCTGAAGTCTCAACTCAAGTAATGGCTGCTGTCATGGATGTCTGTGTGCACCGCTTTTGCGATTGAAGTAAAACAGTGTTACCCTTTCAAAACAATTACCATCATTCTGAGAGGTCTCGTGTGCAGGGGGTGTTTTTAGGAGGAAGAGGGCTCTAGTGGAGAGCGGCGGTGATCGTTGACGGTTCTGTTCCTTGTTGGCTCCTAGCTCCAGCTGATTGAACATGCCACAGTCCGCCAGGGGTGTTGCGTTGTCGAGTAAAGCGTGCAGGTGGCTTCAGTCGCTCACTGGAATGCGAAAGCAAGGCGAGATCACGTTGTCTTGGGCTGGCTGCGTGGGCCTGCACGGTGCGCTCACCCAGCATGGAGCCACCGCCGCGTTGCATTTCGATCACCCCACCAAGTCTCCACCCGCGCACGTTACTCGACACCTTCTCGCACCTTCTCGAACTGGAGCCATGAGCGGGGGGCCACCGTTCTTTTCGCTGGCAGCGTGATCCCGGCCACCGCCACCGAGCCGTGCCGAACAAGTGTTTATCCCCGCGTGCTCATCGCCGTTGATCAGAAATGTAGGCGCGTTGAAGACTCCTACAAAAAAAACGCAAAGGGTGGTTAAAACGTTTTCACAGTGAGAAGTTTTTAGTTGGTAAAAATGTTGAACCGATGAGATGTTAGATTTTATTTTGATGCGCCCCCCCCCCGCCCACGTCGCCATGTACCATACGTAATAGAACAAGTGCGTTGATATTCGGGGTGACCGTGTCGCGAAATAGTTGTGCGTGGATGTGTTTACTCGTAATGTTCCATTCCGGAAACATTTTGACCGCCCCTCGTTAATATTGTCATCGAATTGCAATTGCAGTGCATCAACGGAGCGTACGTGTCGTGTGTCCGAGTACGTAGTGGTTTTTGGCCCAGTGGTATCGTGAATGCTGTAACAACACCCACGTGACTTCGTGGATGCCCAATTGGGCCCCATCAACAATCGATGTCATTTGTGTTCAAGGCTTCTTTTTGGAGGCAGGGGGAGGCTTACAACCAAGATGAGCTTATCCCTCTGGTTCGAATCGAGTATGGACGGAATTATGCTGAGCAAAAAGCCAATTATTGCCTCACCAAAGGAGCTGCAAGGGCTGTTGGACAAAATTTTTATTTTCAACATCCAGTGGTGGACTTTGGAGAAAATGGAATGGTAGGCTAATAATACATTATGCCACATGATATCATACAGAGGCCTGTGTAAAACCCTTCAAGCGTGCATCATTCAGTGGGCAAACTGAACAGCATAAATTATGATATTGCTGCTTTGTTAACATTTCAACCAACATGAGGCCCGCATGGGAAAACAGAGGCGTTTCAACCCGTAAGGGCTCCTCAGCTAGCTGTAGCAGCCACAGACTGATTCTGTATATAAACATATGCCCATAGTATGACAGGCAAGGGCATTGTTTATGTATGTATGTTAAACTTCTTTCGCACCGTACATAGCCAACCGTGCTCATCGGAGGTGCGGGGAAAGAACAAAAAACAAGAAGCCACATTTTAGATGTTAACATTCTCCACCTGCAAAGTCCACCACTGCCAGCATGTTGCGCAAGACAGGCAGACGGTGCTGCTGCCGCTGCTGGGTTTTGCATGGCACAGCGTGCTCTGTCCTGGGTCTGCCTGGCCGTGTGCGGGCCCTGCCTGGGCCCAGTCGTTCGCCTGCTTGGGCGGGCTTGTTCTCAGGGTTTGTGCCCAGGCACGGGCCGTCACACGGCATCAGGCTTCCAAAGATTGAATGTATTCCTCTTTCTCTCTTTTTTTTAAGTTGTACTGTTGCTACCTCTACTGTTGATACAACATTGATGGGTCAGTATTTTACAGGATGTTAAAATTGTATTTGTAAGATGAACATGTCTGGTTAGTACCTGCTCTTTTAACAGTTTGTACAACACTGAGCTAAATGTGAAGTTTTTAAGAAAATAAAAGTAGATGTTCTTATATCGTT